GTTATTACTCACAGTGATTTATGGGTCCAAAATTACTACTGAAAATTCTAGGTCATCGATCATCAATTATAAACAATATTTTCTCATTATATTTTAAACCATTGCTGTATATTTTGTTGTTCAATCAATGCAAAATGTCGTGATTGTCTACATTTTATATATATATGTAAATGCAGAAAAAATTGTATAATTAAAAATTTTTTAAATTAAATTTTTAATTTTAAATAGAATTTTTCGTTTTATTTTGTTTCTTAAAATTCTCCTCCTTGTTTTTATTTATTCCCTAATTTATTCTCCTCATTAGTAGTATAAAGTAAAAAATTTGGATTAAATTTTTAACTATAAAGAAATTTTTTTTCTGTTTTGTTTAAATAAAATATTTCAGTTCAACAATAACGATTATTTTTTTTTTAATTAATGAGACAATTGGTTATTATATTAATACCAATTAATTTATTATATAATACCAATTAATTTATTTATTTAATGAAAAATAGCAAAAATATTTAGATGTAAAAAATAATCAATTTTAAAAATAAATATTACCTATTATTAAATAATATTAAGGGGTCGTCCATAAAATAAGTAGCACTTCAAAGGGGGGTGGGGGGCAAGTCATTTGCTATGAGCATCAGGAAAAATATCGTTAATATCAAATATAAAAATTAACGATAATAAATACAAAAATAAAACAATGTAAATAGCTAAAAATTAAAATATCAAATTATATTTTAAACTTACATAGTTTACTCACAGCTCTGCAGCAGCGATCACGTGACCTCACAAGCACATGGGATTGTTGAAAACTTTTGTCGCACTCCCGAGAAATTAACACTAGAAATTAAAATTTTAAACAAATTATGATTTTGGAATTTGGAAACACTTACTTGTAGAAATTAATAATTTGGAATTAAAAATAATGTTAAAAACACGTGATTCTTAAATTTCAAAATTACTTTTCGACCCACGTGCCAGTTACTTCCTACACGGAGAGAGAATATATATTAAATTTTGTAAAAATATTTTCAAATTGGGGAAAAAGTGCGACAAAGCGAAATTTTGATATAAAAAATACTAAACTTTAAAAAAACTTATGTGAAATTTAGTATAATTATATCAAATACCGTCAACCGGGGCTATTTTGTGCACCAAATAGCTTTTTTTTTGATTCAAAGATTTATTTAAATTCAGAATTAAGAGAATAAAGAAAATCAACTTTTGAAATATGTTGTGGACATCCTTCTGAAGGTTTCCTATAAATTTTGCAAAGAAAAAAATTTTTTTGTCTTAGTTATAGTCATTGAAAGTCGTGAACACAATAACTCCCGGGATGGGGCTATTTTGTACATCGAACTTTGTTTTTCTATAATGTTGCGTAAACAATTTTTTTAATCGTTTCTGCTTCATGAAATCTTTTGTGTATATATTTGAGAGTAAATTAAAAAAAGAATGACCTAGTAAAATTTTTTTTGTAGATATATTATACAAAAAATGTAAAATAAAGCACTAAAATTTTGCTAAAATCTGGATTTACTAAAAATTAACAATCTTTCTTTAAATTGTATATTACGCAGATAGTAAATAAATTTTTTTTCTTTTTTAATATATATTTTATAATAATATACTAATATAATTATAAAATGATCGTTTAAACACTTATAAATAACTTTAAAACATCATTTCAATAGGAGCTTTTTTAATAGTTTTGAATGATATTTTTAAAAAACTTGAAATAAATATTTTTAAGGGTAAATAGATAACAATTTAATATCTAATATGCTTTTTAAGTTATTTTAAGAGAAACGAGAAAATAGTTTTAAAACTAATTTGAAAAACTTATAAATATTAATTAAAGTTCATTTTTTGAGGTTACGTTGTGCACCGGTAGAGCTTTTAATCGTTTTAATGATTTTAATTAACGTATTTACAGTTTTTTGACAGAAAAGTAAGACAAAAATGTATAAAAATGATAAACAGAATCTTCTTTACTTACTAAATAAAATATTTATGAAAAATATTTGATTTTTTTAAGTGCACAAAATAGCCCCATAGAATCCTGGTTTTTCAGTTTTTTCCACTTTTCTCTTAAAATAATGAATAAAAAGTTAGCGCATTACGTATGTATCATCACAACACAATTGAAAACAAATATCTAACACAGTTTATGAGACACATTAAAACTCTAGAAGATCTGGTATAATTTTTCCGAACTTTCAAAATTTTTTAAACAAATTTTCCGTTTTTAGGAATTTTTTTCTCTTAATTGCCAAAGAATTAAATAATAACATTTAGTGCTCTCTATTTTCATGTAATCAAACTTTCATTTTACAAAATAGCAGATTAAAATAATTCATTTTAATAATTTTTTTCATTAAAAAACTCGCGTGCACAAAATAGCCCCCGGATGCACAAAATAGCCCCAGTTGACGGTATCAAGAATATTAATTAAATTCTAATATAACTTTAATAAATTTCACAAAACTTTTTTTAAAGTTTAGTATTTTCTATATCAAAATTTCGCTTTGTTGCACTTTTTCCCTAATTTGAAAATATTTTTACAAAATTTAATATATATTCTCTCTCCGTGTACGCATTAACTGAAATCACGTTGGAGTGAGAATAAAATTTTCTCTCTTAACAAAGTAATAATTTTTTAATTTTAAAAAAAAACTCTTTTTTATTAAATATAAATAAAAATATTGCAGAAATATATTATTTTTATTTCTAATAATTGTCTTCTAAAAATTAATTAATATTTTATTGATTTAAAATTTCAAAGTTCAATTTTCCGGAAACACGTGGTGTAACGAGCACAATGGAGTTAAGAGACAAAGTGTGGATGAAGTTTAAATTTATTAAATATAAAAAAATAAATAAAAATATTTATTTTTAATAAAGAATACGAAAATTGAAATATTCCATAAAAATAAATATTATTAATTGTTTAATTTTCAATATCTAGAAAAAAATTTTTCTAATAATTACAGTACATAATAAGTCGCTCTCATTGTCCCCACTCCAACGCTTTTTCGGATTAAAATACCTTAGATATAATTTTATTATTTATTATCAATAATATTTAAAATATTTATTATTTATTATCGATAAACATGATAAATAAATAAATAATAAATTAATTATAAATATTAATAATAAAACAATAAATATAAATAATTAATAAAGTACAAAAATTGTTTAATAATTTTTAAAAAAACAGAGAACTATTTTTATAGACTTTGTATTTCGTCAAATTTTCATTTTACAAATGCCAATAAACTCCATACCTACTTTTATTAAAGAAAAAAAAAGGAAAATCACCGAGAAAAAAATTGCACATTTAGCGGTATTTCCTTTGTTTTTTGCATTTGCATAAAAAAACTCAAGTATTTATAACTTTTCAGTCTGAGAATTTATTGATTTCATGACATCAAATGTTGTCGGACGTATTTTTACTCGCCATTGATTATTTACTTTGTATTTAGAGCAATAAGTTAGTAAAAAAAAACTCGTATAGACCAAAATAAAATGTCTCTTGGGGGCCGTACACATAATACGTCACGCGATTTTTGACCATTTTTGACCCCTCCCTCCCCCTATGTCACACTTCGTCACAAACCTTGAACCCCTCCCTCCCCCTACGTCACGTCACACACGTAAATTTCACTGTAAATTTTATACATTGGACATTATATATATTATATACAACACTCTAAATTATTGAATCAGTTAGAAATAACTGATTTAGAAGCAAGAAATCAGTCACTAATTCAAATAGTAATATTTTTTTTCTGACAATTAGTTAAAAATAACTGATGTTTCAATAAAATTTTTTGGATTGATTTAATTATTAGTCACGTTTAACTACCTACATAGCACCGAAACTTTCCTAACAATTTATTGAAGGCAAGCTTCGAAATATTTAAATGCAATGTTTAGTAAAAATTGTATAAAGATTTAAATATCCCACTTCAATAAATGTTTAGCGCGAAACATTCCTGAAAATTTAACTTAAATTTTCAGCAAAATTTTTACGAAAGTATAGTCAAAAGTGTAATTAAATGTTCAGGAAAGTTTCAAGCTATATTTTTAAGAAAATTTGACGATAAACATTTATTGGAGTGAGAAATTTAAATCTTTACACAATTTTAAATAAACTAATTGCTAGTAAACTTTTCGAAGTATGCAAGCAAATCTTTAATATACATATATTTAGAAAAGTTTCGGTGTTTTGTGGATAATTTTTCAGTTATTTTTAACTGATTCAGATACAAAAAGACAGTCACTGCTGATTGCCAGTTTAAACCATGATTTTTAACTGATTCAAATTAAGAGAATATATTACTTATCATATTATAAATAATATACCAATAGATGTTAAACAGGTACATATAATAGATATTAAATAATTTAGAGCATTTTTAACATGTTTTATTTAGAAAAAGTGCCATTGTCATATATAATTTCTTATAATCTTTGAATTTAAAAGATTGTGACGTAACACATGAGTTCACCCCCCCCCCCTCCCCCATGTCACACTTAGTCACAATTCTCAGACCCCCTCCCTCCCCCTAGCCGCGTGACGTATTATGTGTACGGCCCCTTGACGACAAAAACAAATTACTATCAAATTAATTACAACAACGGATAGTAATCATTATTGTTTTATTTATTTTATCATTCCCATTATACCGTATTTATATTGTTCACTGATAGTTACTGCAATCGGTACAAATAAATTTTATTCAGTTCTGTATATTATAATAATAAAAAAAATTAATTTATTTAAATTACGTTACAAATTTAAAACTTATTTAACTATTTAACTCAGCAACTTTTTTAATTAAACTAATTTATTTACTTTTTTCTATTATTAATACTACTATTATTATTTCTATTTCGAATAATTATTATCTTTTTATTGTTATTATTATATTAATATTGTCTCTAAAAGAAACCGATTTTTATTTTATTTATTTATTATTATTTTTAACCTTATTTATAATATTTATTTACCACACAATCAATTGTTTGTTTTATTATTTCAAGTTTTCCTTTTCTGGAGAATGTAAAAAATAAACATTTCACAGACCTAAGTCCGTTTTTAATTACCATTTAAGAAAGCTCTTAGAAAATATTCGCTTTGTCCTTAAGTAGATATTCGTGCCTTTTATATAAAATGCTGGTAGAAAGTACTCACATAATTTCACCATTATCGTCAATGTTAATTAAAAAGTTGGTATTTTCATGGTAAATATATAATTAGATATTCGAAATGCACAAGTGCGTATTCCACACGTTTCACCCTTAGAAATATTTAACCCTCATTGTCATGGAATAACTAGCTTTCAACACGTAAGGGTAGAATCACGGAACAAAGTAGGCCGAGTTGAAAAGGACATTTTCAAATCGAGCGTGAATAAAGATATTTTCATTCTCGAGCAACAGGTTAATGGAGAACTTTATTTTTCGACCATCCTGATCGACTATTCGAATATCGAGAGAGAAAGAGAGAGAGGTTCTTTATTTTTTTTTTATTTTTACTTTTAATTTATTTTTCTTTCGTTTGATTTTTTAATTTATTTTGGTGTCAATTATGGATCAACCAATCACACCCCGAATTGCAGATCAACCTGCTAATCAACCACCTCAAATGGTAAGCAAAACAAATAAAAATAATATTTCTAAAAACCATTTTTTTCCGCCAGGAAGAATAATATTTTGGAAAAATGATACTTTTTCATTAAAAGAATATTTTTACATACTTTTTACATCTTTGAAAATTATGATTAAACGATAAAACAAAAAAGTTTTTTTTTATTAATAAATTTAAGAATAATAAAACAATTCCAATAATCGAGAAAAATTGTTCAAGTGACCCTAATTTTCTTTTTTCGAATCATCAAATTTACTACGCGGCAACATAGCAATTTTTGTGGTCATTACAAATAGATTAGTTTATTAGAATAATTTGTCATTCTTTCACATTATTATTTTTATTTTTATTACTTCTTTATATTATTTATTAAAATTTTTAAGATTTAATCGTCATTGAAATTTTTTTCCTTCTAATCTAATATTTTTGTTTCGTTTTTATCGAAAATTTAAATGTTTTTTCATTTTGAAAATAGAAATATCTGTTTTAAGGTGATAAAAAAATGTTCCCATTAAAAAAAAAAATTATCTAAACAAATAGAGAAAAATGGAACGAATAAAAAAATTCTATAAAACTGAAATTGAAAAGCGTACTTTGAAAATAAAAGAATAATTTTTACATCCAGTGTAAAAAAGGGATTATTACATGGAAAATTTGTATCTAAAAAAGCATAAAATCGATGGTAATGTTTATCATTTCTTTGTCAATATTTCGATTTCCCAGAAATTGTAAAAATTGCGACAGATCTTTTTCATATTGTTTAAATAAATATTTACAGTTTAAATAAATGTTTATAGTTTAAATAAATGTTTATAGTTTAAATAAATATTTACAGTTTAAATAAATGTTTACAGTTTAAATAAATATTTAAAGATTAAAACAATGTTTAGAATTTAAATTAATATTTAAAGTTTAAATAAATGTTTAAAATCTAAACAAATATTTAATGTTTAAATAAATGTTTAAACTCTAAAGAAATATTTAAAGTTCAAGTAAATATTAAAAAATTCAAAAAGTAAATTTTTAGTTTTTTAATTTGAACTGTAAATATTTGTTTAAACTTTGAATATTTGTTTAAACTTTAAATATTAATTTAAAATTTAAACAAATATTTAAAGTTTAAACAAATATTCAAAAGTTTAAACAAATATTTAAAGTAAACAAATATTCAAAGTTCAAACATATATTTAAAAATCGAAGAACTAAATTAAAAAAAAAATTTCTCAAAAAATGTAGTTTTGAAAAATACGTTTTTTTGTAAGTTTTATCACGATTTTTTCAAAAAAGAAAAATCTTTCCAAAGGGCATTTAAAAGTTTTGATTAGCTTTGCACGATTGTTATATAGTAAAAGTAAATTATTTTCGTAAATTCTCGCAGACATTGAACTTTTTCGAGTATATTGTGTATTTCAAAGTGATAAAAACGACTTGATAAAATCGCGTTACATTGGCCCTGAGCCCATCGATCTCTCAATAATACTAACGGTGACGTCTCGACGAAATGTTTCGCCGTACCTGCCACCGTCCTGCCCTGCGCTTATTACAAGATCGATCACGAAAAAGCAGAAACTTATCGACTTCTTTCTCCCTTGGGAAAATACTTTTTTTTTACACCCTTGCCTCCCTTTTTTGACACTCTAGAAAAACCCTAAATTTTTCCACTGGCAAAAATTTGAAAAGGAAAAAAATTTACTTCGAAAAATATTCTCTTACGAATTTTTTTTCTTTTTTTTCTTACGAAGAAATTGTTCTATTCTCAAAAATATGGAAAAGAAATTTATTTGGAAAAATATCCTCTTGTGATTTTTTTTCTTTTTACGAAGAAATTTTTCCACTCTCAAAAATTTTGAAAAATAAATTACTTGGAAAAATATTTTCTTACGAAAGAAAATGGTTAGAAAATAATTGTTTAGAAGAAACTATTTAAAGCAAACTATTTAGAAAAATTATGGAGCAACAACTATTTAGAGAAACTATTGAGCAAAATATTCTTCACAAAGAATTTTTTAGAACATTAATTTTCTTTCGGGTTGGTAATTTTCGAATTTCGAATTTTGAATTAAAATACAAGAGACCAGTCGGAGAGAAAGATTTTTCTGAGGCATTGATAATAGAAATTAATAATATCCAGAAAACATGTTAGGATAACTTTGTTCTTCCAGGTGAAACAAAATCCTCCGAGTTTTCAGCAGTCGCCACAAGGAGGACCGCAAAGATTCCCAGTGAATAATAATGGTCCAGGCCAGCCTCCTCCACCACTACGACATTTAGACAGTAGATCATCATTGCTTCCCGGTCAATTTCCCCAATCTAGACCACCGCCTCCATACGGACCAAGGCCTCGAAACGTCTTCTATCCCAGATCACCCGGCAGTCAACCGCCTCCTCCAATTTCCGGTTCTCCAATTCCTCCAGGAGCACCAGGTCAATATCCAAATCCCCAACTTTCCGTCCCTGGCTCGCCAATTCAGGCCGTACCACAACAAACATTTCCAGGTCCACGTTTCATTCAAAATCCAAACATCCGTGGTCCATTACCGCCTCCTCAACGACCACCATTCTCCGGCAATCCTCAACAATTCTTTCCAAGAAATAGTAGCGATCAACTGAGAGGACCCGCCGATTTCGTCCAAAGTCAAAAATTACAACGTAATGATTCCGTCGCAAATTTAAATCCCCGTTTTCCAATTGTTCCCGTTGACAGGCGACCACAACTAATCCCTCAGATTTCCGTCGAGAGAATGTCAGACGACGGGACGAAGGTGACGATGTCTGGCGATGGCGATATCAAGAAACTGGCGAAGGAAAACGACGACGATGATGACGTTGTCGTGGACAGTGAAAAATTGTCGGCGAAAATCGACACACCACGATCGCCACGTCTCTCGATTTCCAGTCGGCAAAATTCCGGATCTATCGATGGGGAAAGAATGCAAATTTCCGGTCTCAATTCTCCAGCTCGTATTCAATCTGCAGGTAGTCATCAATCGCCGGGTCAGCAATCTCCAGGTAGTCATCAATCGCCAGCAAGTCATCAATCGCCAGTTAGTCATCAATCGCCGATTCAGCAACAATCCCCAGCCAGTCATCAATCGCTGATTCAGCAACAATCTCCAGTCAGTCATCAATCGCCAGCCCATCAGCAATCCTCAATTCCAATTTCTGCTCCAGTCAGTAGACCCCCATCAGCCGCATTGAGTCCCAATAAAATGTCCCGACCACCTTCTGCAATAAAGGAAACAACGGATAATTTAATATCGCCAGAGAACAAATCTGATGAACAATTGTCATCAAAATCACCCGATATTTCTGACACTAATGCAGAAAATCCTCAAGATGGGGAGACGGTGGAAGTGGTCCAGGGAAAAATTTCAATTCCAAATACTCCGAAATTACCAAAGACTCCGGACAGTGTGCAGGGTTTTGACAATGGTATGAGAAGATCGCTGACATCGAGATCATCGTCTGAATCCAAATCACCAAAATCGCCGAGGTCGCCTGGATTCAAGGCGTTCGACGAGGAAGAAGAAAAGAAACGTACGACATTTGCCGATATGGACGAAAATGGAGATATTGGTTCCGATGATTCGAGATCGAAATCGGGTTACACGACTCCAACTACTCCGAGGAAGAGAATTTCTTCGGGAAGTCGTTCGCCGTCAAAGGAAAATCGGAGATCTCTCTCTGCACGAGGATTGAGAACAGGTTTCGATTTATACAGTTTTGCTTTCGATTTTCTTTATTCGAAGAATTTTTTTTTCTTTTTACACGTTTGCACAATTTACAAAATTTATTTATTTATTTAAGAAAAATACCGAGACAAGCCCTTTCGTACAAAAGTACGAAGAACAAAAGTTCTTTTCTCTAGGGAAATTATTTTTTAATTAATTTACTCTTTTCGTCAGGAAAATTATTTTTAAATTAATTTACTCCTTTCGTCAGGAAAATTATTTTTGAATTAATTAAATTATTCTTTTCTCCATGAAAATTATTTTTGAATGAATTTAATTATTCTTTTCATCATGATAATTATTTCTGAATTAAATTAATTATTCTTTTCTCCGTGAAAATTATTTTTAAAAGTCATTTAAATATAATAAATAATTTTCAAAAGATGACAAGAAAAATAAAATATTCTGGGACTTTAGAAATTTTTATTTCTAAATTTAAATTTAAATTTAAAAAATTTTTAATTTAGAAGCGTTTGAACAGATATCCATTTAAGTTAGCATTCGATTTTTTCTCCAAATAATTAAGGGTCACGATCAAAGTACCTGTTACAATTTTTGAAGACTCAAAATTCTCCCTTTCTAAATTAAAAATAGATTTAAAATTTCAATTTCTTGTAAACACTTTGTATTTGCATAAAGATTACCAAAAAGTTTCTCCCAAACTGTGATTTAAAACTTTTTAATTTTTAATTTGACAATTTTTTTTCACTGACAATGATTTTAATCTTGAAAAATTATAACCAGTTCTTTAATCAGGACCTTCAATTGTATTTTTTTTTATTTTAACACGTTTGCACGTTTTCCAAAATTATTTTCTAAAATAATTTTCTAAAGTAGAAAAACTATTGAATTAATTAAATAATGAATTCAATATTTTTTCTTTTGATGAAAATTATTTTTGAAAGCCATTTAAAAATATAAAATGATTATTTTTTATTGATTTCTTTTTGAAAATCAATTATTTTGTTGTAAATAATTTAAAAAAATAAATATAATTAATAATGAAAAATCCAGTTTTGGATTTCAATTTGAAACAAATTTCAGTTTTGGAAATCAAATGAAAATTTAAATTAGAAACATTTGAAGCTATTTTCAAGACTGGAATAAATTATCTCGATGAATAAAATTACGTGTTTAATGAGTGTTGATTAAAAATTGAGTGGGTAGAAACATTTTTCATTAAGAAACACGTAAATCGCTTGGATACTCCATTAATAAAATGAAAATGGGAATTTAAGAATGAATTGCAGTAAATTCTTGGGTGTGATAATAATAATAATAATAAATCTTTCTTTTTTTCCCTAAAGACGCTGAAAATGACAGTGGCGTTGATGAATCAACACAACGTGGAGAGGTAATAAAAAATACCAATTAAGCAATATTATACAAATGATAAATTTCGTATGAATTAATTTAATTAACTTAGTCATTAAATTATTCAATTTAAAAATGTTATAAAAATTATTCACTTCAAATTATTATAATAATTATACAAAATTGTTTTATTTCAATAATAAAAAAAATTATTTTATCTCAATAATTAGAAAAACTATTCGACTTATAATAATTTCTAAAATTATTCAATTTTAATAATTATAAAAAAAATAATTCAATTTTTGTAATTATTGAAAATTACTCAATTGCCACAATTATCAAAAATTATTCCACTTTCATACAATTACAAAAGTTTTCCAATTTCAATAACTATATGAAATCATTCGATTTTGATAATTAAAAAAATTATTCAATTTTAGTAATTATAAAATTATTATCAATTTTAATAATTATAAAAATAATTCAATCTCAATAATTATAGAAACAGGTTCCATTTCAATAGTTAGTAAAATTATTTAATTCCAATAATTCCATTTTAATGATTAATGAAATTATTCAATTTTTATTATATAAAAAAATATATTACTTTCAATAATTATCAAAAATTATTACATTTCAATAATTAGAAAAATAATTCAATTTCAATAATTACATTTTAATGATTAATAAACTTATTTAATTTTGATAATAATTAGAATTATTTCATTTTGATAATTCCAAAAATTATCCAATTGAAATAATTTTTTCGGCAAATAATTCAATAACGCAAAACCTAAAATAATAATCTTAGGGAATCATTGTTAGTAAGAAAAAATTAATAGGAATAAAAATAATTAATAAATTATTCGCAGGCGCCTACGTTAAATGGAATCAGAAGTTCTCCGACAAAGAGAACGTCTTCAAAGTCAAGGGAAGCGGATAAAAGTTCGATGGCCGGCTCTCCCGTGAAGTCGCCAAGTAAATCCGCGAAATCTCTACTCAGAACACCAGATACGGCTTCATCGGCAAGCATTCAAGACAAGAAATGTCAGTAATCATTTATATAAAATTTAATATTTAAAAAAATTTCCCCCCTATTTTTAATAATTTATAATCAACAATAATTTTTATCGATTATTTTTTCTTTCATTTTTTCATTCATTAATCTCATACAATATTCGAAGAAAAATTTTTTTTCAAACAATTCTTTCTGAAAAAAAAATTAATTTTCCATTCTGTAAAATCGCCTTTTTTAATTTTAATTTTTTTCCAAAAGCTTAATACTTTATAATAATAAAATTAAAGATTTTCTTTTATTATTTTTTAATATTAGAATTAAAAATTTGTTTTTATTCCTTTTTGGAACTTTTGACTCCCTAACAATTTATTTTTTTTTTAATTTAATATTTAATTAAAAGTTAATATTTTCCACTGTATTAATTTTAACTTTGTAATTATTGTCAAAAGTGCCCATGAATAAAGTGCAAGTCGGAGCAGCGCCTTCGCCTAATTTAAAAACAGTGAAATCGAAAATCGGCTCCCTAGCGAATACAGCTTATAAGCCAGGAGGTGGAAAAATCAAAATTGAAAATAGAAAATTGGACTTTAGTAAGGCACAACCAAAAATTGCAGCCAAAAATGATAAATACGCACCAAGTGGCGGCGACAAGAAGGTGAAATAAAAATACAATCTCAAAATTTACAAACAATTTCATAGTCAAAAAAATTGATTGATTCCAAATCAAAAAAGAAAATTGGTTCAATTTCTTTCCTGAATGATTTTTTTCCAGTAAAACCAATATTTAATTCAAATTTCGAGTTAAATAATTAAATTTAATTAAAAGATTAAATTTTGCCTTTAATTAATTGAATTTAAATTAAATTTTGTCTTTAACAATAAAGACGAGAAGAATTTATTTTGTCAATAGCTCGGTCTAATCGAACAATTTTTAATATTTAAGATCCAGCAAGTGAAACTGCAATGGAATGCAAAATCGAAAATAGGCTCATTGGAAAATACAACACACAAGCCAGGAGGTGGAGACAAGAAGATCGAAACGGTGAAGTTAGATTTTAAGGACAAGGCAAAACCGAAGGTCGGTTCTAAAGACAATACAAAACACGTACCAGGAGGTGGCACTGTTAAGGTAAGAGAAAAAAAACAAATAAAAAAAATAATAAACAAAATGTCCCATATTCGAATGTGTAATGCTATCAAATAGAGTATCAATTTTCAATATTTATAATGTCAAATATGTAAAGTGCATCTTGAAACATAAGGAGATATTTTTATTCTCTAAACACTCCTTGGCATGCTAATGTCTATTGCACCGATATTCAATTATTTCTATATTTATTCCAAAACCTATTCGATTTTTTTTTCACCTGTTAATTTTGTTAGAAATTTCAATTTTCGACAAAAAATTTATGGCGAAATTGTCAAATTTTTAAGAACTTGAATTAAAAAAATACTAAAATTAATCGGATCCTTTATTTATTTATTTATTAAATTTTATTCAACATTTTTGGATTTTAATTCCTTTCTATTTAAACGTGTTTAAAAATTTCAAATCCCTTTTTTATTTTTCAAAAAAGGGATGAAGAAAATATTTCCTTTTTTTTAAATTGATTTTGTTTTGAAACGTAAATCTAACGATAATTTTCCAATTTTTCTAATATTCGATTTTTTTACCTTCTCTTAATTTTGTTAAAAAATTTAAATTATTTCCTTCTGAACTTTTAAATAAACGAAATTTATTTATTTATTACTCAAAAATCGAATTTTACTATAAGTAATAATATTGAGTCTCATAATTAAAAAATAATTCATAAAGTTTCAAAGTTAGAATTAGTTTTTCATTTTTAATTCAGTGAATAATGAAACTATTTATATCGAAAATAATTTCGTTCATTTAGGTAATAGTTCAAAATTTTTCAAACATTTTTAATTAAAAATTTTTTTAAATTGTTTAGAAAAAATTAGTAGAATTAAATTTTTTATTGTTTTAGTTTTATAATTTTTAATTTAACAATTTTTAATTTAATTGTCTTTTTATTCTTGTTTTTCCTTTTTATTTCAGTGAGTAATTTATGAAAATATTTATATCGTAAATAATTTCGTTCATTCAAAAGTTACAATTTTTTTGAAACATTTTTAAATAAAAAATTTACAAAAATCTTTACAAAAAATTAATAGCATCAAATTTTTTAGTGTTTTAGTTAAAAAAAAGATACTAAAATTAATCGGTATTGATTCAGTCAAATTTTTGAGATTTTAATTCTTTTCCTATTTAAAATTTAAAAACCCTTTTTTATTATTCAAAAACAGAAGTGTTTCATCTATTTTTTTGAAAATAAAAAAGTGGACATTTTATCGAAGGCGTGAAAAATTTAATTATTTCCTAAAAAGGATTCCAGGAAAGTTTTTTTCTTTATGTCTCAAAGGTAAAGTAAATATTTCTAAAACATTTAATATAATTAAAAGTGATGTAAAAGTTTCATGACATTTATGAAAATCTAAAGTGAAATTCACCGTCACAAATAAAATGCAAACGAGACAGTAATAATTTCACTCGTTTTAGCCGCGCGCGCGCGCGATTTTCATTTGTCATCAACAAAAACTTTCTTCCAAGTTTTTAACTTTATAAATAGTGTGAAATTTTACCTTGATCGATCGTATATATGTCAGTCTCGTAAACTTAAATTGTTTCACTCACCTTCCTCGTGTTTCCTCGTTGGTTTCCTTCCACCTGAAACAAAAAATAAAACAAAAAGTTAATAAAATAAAAATATATAAATAGAAAAAAATAAATGTAAACTTATATATATAAATAAATATTTATTAAAATAATAAACCGGACAATAAAATTAATAGGAAAAATTGAGAATAATTTTTTTTTCAAATAGACTCTAAATTCTAAATATACCTAAAATCAATATTTTCGATTATTTATGAAATTATTATTTTTTTATTATTATTGTCACTAGAGATATAAATCAGGGGTGTATTAAAAAAAATTGAATCTGGGGTAAGGTAATTTAGGTCGTTGGTCCTAAATGTCATTTATAGAATGATATCAGAGCCTTGATTAAAAAAAAAAAATTGTTAAAAACCTTTGCGTGTTTGTGACTAACTTGCTTCGCTTAAATTTTAAACTTGGAAATAGAAATTTGTTGTTTGTAATTTGCAACTCTAGGACAATGAAAATATCGTGATTTGTCGTTGTTTCAGGAAGTGATGAACTGCATGTGAAAATGTCTGTTTGAATGTTTCGTTTATGAATAAAGATCCTCTTAGTTCATTCCCTCTAATGAAACGATAAAAAAGAAAGATGTAAAAAACAAATAAAAACAAAGAGAGAAAAAAAACAAAAAAAAAACGAAAATACAAAAAGAAAGAAAAGATACGCAGAAAATAAAAAACCAACCGAAAGAAAAAACAAAAAAGAAACAAAAAGAAAAAAAAATAAGACAAAGTAAAAAATTTAATTAAATTTGCACTCAAAAAATTTCTTATCGTTAATTTCGTTAGTATTTCAATCGTAAAATATTAACCTAATTATAAAGAAATAAAATTCATTTCAAAATTTCTACTAATGATTTTAATAAATATCAATTTTTAAATTTACTGGGAGATAAGTGAAATTTTTTTTTATATAATTAACGCTTGAAAAAATCATTTTAAGACATATTTCAGATGATTCCCTTGAAAGCTTTTAACCCTGTGACCTTTGCATGAGGTGTCATCGGTCATTATTAACACATTATTATCATTTGTTGATGTTTAGTCATTGGAGACACCACCAAATACTCCTTCTCAGGACACATCGTCTAATGATGTAAGTAAAGTGATGACATTTTCAATCTAAAACTAAATTAATCAAAATCAATCATAACCATCGCAATGCGAATAAAATTTTACACGTAACCAACTTCCTTTTCATTTCACAATTCGCAATTAACAAAAGTGATAAAAATTATTTTTCAAAACGTACTATTTCTTTTCCAATAAAAGAATTCTTTAATTAAAAATTTCTTTAATTTAATTTCAAAATTAATTTTATTTAGAAAATAATCTCTATTTTAAACCAAATTACACGTAAAAAGGAAACAATTCTTTTCTAAAAAAATGTTTATTACTAATTTTTTAATTTAAATCATAAAAAATGTAAAAAAACAATTTTTTCTAAAAAATATCTATTAATTTTACATTTACATTATAATTAAAAAAATGTAAAAAGGAAACAATTTTTTCTGGCGAAAACGTCCATTAATTTTTACATTTAAATTATATTTGGTTTATTATTCTAATCGAATTTTTACTAATTATTCAATACTAATTTTTTTACTAATTACTCCAATTTATTTTTTTTTACTAATTTTTCGCAAACGCGATAAATATTTATTATTACATATTTAAGTAGTAAGACGAGATGATAAATAAAATAATTTATTTTTGTTTATTTAACATCAAATTAACTCGAGTTTCAAATTATTGTATTAAAATATAATTTCTAATTATCGTTTTGTCACTAATAAAAAATTCGAGTTTGAAATAAAAAGAGAAACAAGACCTGGCTATCGAGAAATTAAATCGTAAGTAATCGGTAAAGAAAACAACAAAAAAGCATGAACTCTCGCATGTATGGAATATTATTTTCATTCTTAGAATGAATATTTCGATTTTATCCAATTGTAATGAGACCTTTTTGGACCATTTACATTATAGAAAGCGCCTTGTTAGGAAAAAAATATTTTTTTATTCTTTAGAGTCCACTGACGACTTTTAGAAAAAGGTACAAGTATTTTTTTTATGTATACAGTAGAACCTGTCAAAGTGTAACCAGATTTAAATTTTTTTCCACTTATTTTATTTCTATTATATTCTATTTCTATTCTAATTATTCTTTTTTAGAATTAAATTTTTTTTATCTACAATTCCAGAATATTGTAAAAATATTATAAAATATATGTAAAATAAATATTTGTATTCACAAATATATCATTTTTTACAGATTATTTACTATGATAAGATTTACAAAAAATCAGTTGCATTCTGACAGGTTTTACTTTAAGACACGACAGAATAATTTAGTCCATATATTTGTTTTTCTTCCAAAATTTATAATAAAAAAATATATGTAAAATAAATATTTGTATTCACAAATATATCATTTTTTTTACAGATTATTTACTATGATAAGATTTACAAAAAATCAGTTGCATTCTGACAGGTTTTACTGTAAGACACGACAGAATAATATCGTCCATATATTTGTTTTTCTTCCAAAATTTATAATTTTTATAATTTTTATAAATTATAATTTTTCTCTTTTATTTTCTCTAAAGAAAAAAGATTCATGTATTTTTTTCTACTAAACTTTATAATTTTTTATTTTATTTTCTCTAAAGAGAAAAAATTCATGTATTTTTTCTTCTTCTAAACATTATAATTTTTATTTTATTTTCTCTAAAGAGAAAAGATTTATATTTTACCAAAATTTATAGTTTTTCTATTTTATTTTCTCTGAAGAGAAAAGATCAATTTTTTCAAAAATTTATAATTATTCTCTTTTATTTTCCCTAAGGGAGAAATAGAAATGAATCAGATTTTCAATCATATTCCGAAAGGGTTTTTGTTTTGAATTTAATTTTTTATCTTCCTTTGACAGATCGAGACGCAGAAAGTTGATATTAAGGCTGAAAGCAAAATTGGCTCGCTTGATAATGTCAAACACAAGCCAGGCGGTGGTGACAAGAAAATCTTCAATGACAAAGATTATCTCCGACAGACCAGTTCAAATGCTGAGAGTCTTAGTGGAAGCGGCTCTCAGGTATGGAAGATTATTTTTAAACAATTTACATAAAAAAAAAAATTTCAAAATTTCAAAATATTAAATTTAAATATCATTTTGTAATTCCTCTTTTGCACTCAAAATGTTTTCGAAAGAATAATTTACCTCTGAATCAAAAAACAAAAATTAAAAATCAATTATCAAAATTATTTTCACAGTATCAAAAGTAAAAAAAAAAATTATCGCCAATTGCTTTGCATGACACGCACACATTATTCGCGATATATTAGAAAATCGATTAATTATTGGATTGCACAAAACACAGTAAATTCGCCATAGACTTAACTTTTCCTCGCTTTACGTCTCAAGTAATTTAGAAAAAAAAAACAAAAGCACTAAAATTTTTCTAGTCGAATTTCAATTTTACATAAGAAAACAATTTTTACATTATAGTAGAATATAATTTTAAAAATTTATCTTTCCTTAATTCTCAAATCGAAATAATTCTCAAATCAAAAAGGAGAAAAAATGCTTCTAAAGTTCTGAACATTTAATTGAACGAAATTAATTTATTTCCTCTTCAAAATAAATTTTCATTACAATAATTCGGTGTCAAATATAAAAAAAATAGATAAATTATAATTTATTAATTTTTTTATACTTAAAAACTATAATTATCGATTTTAAATGAGAAACTTAAATTTAAAATTTAACAATCAGTAATTTCTGAAAATATTTCGTTCATTTGAAAGTTCAAAATTTGTGGATTATGAGAAAACATTTTTATTCAAAAATATTTCGTTCACTTAACTTGTAGATCACGAGAGAGAGAAAAAATAGGGAAAAATTTATTGTCAATATTTCAAAATTTTTACATATATATATTTATCCTTTTTATCATCGTGGGAAAGAAGAAATGTGTCCAAAGAAAAAAAAAGTTGAAACTGTGCAATGGCCGATAAAATTCGCAAAAAAAAAAGTGAAAAAAAAAGAATTCAATGTCTTACGTATAAAAGTGAGACGAATATTTTGGCAAGAATAGCATTTGTTATGTTTCACAGAGTCCAATACCGTCTGGCGCAATCAACAATGACAAGAATGGTCTTCCACAATCGGACGAAAACCTCAACCAGGAATGCTAGGTCTTCACTACTTAACTATCATCGCGTTAACTTTTGAAGTTCATACATCCCGAAGAAAAAAGGGCTTTTCAATTCCTTGTCGACTATCACATCGCAAGGGATTTTAAAAAAGCCGATCTAAATCCTGCCATTTCTGACATCCCTCGAGGCCATAGAAATACAAAATTTTTTAATACTTGATAATGGAAAATAAAAATAGCTACAAAAAAGAAAATCTTCTCAACTTTAGAAAAAAATTTTACTCTTGAATATTAATATTAAAAATTAAAAACTAATTTTTCGTCTCTAATAATCATACGAATCATTGTGAAAATCATTTTTTTAAATACTACAAAATCATAATTAGAAAAAAAAGAAAAAACATAAAAACTAGGAAAAAAATTTGTACAAATAAAGAAAATCTGTGACTTTGGAAGAATGTAAAGATTTTGATTGAATTTTAAAACTGAAAAATTTTATTTTAATCTACATGTGATTTTTTCTATTTTTTTTTTAATTGTGACAATTTTTATTTCTTATTTATTCCTAATTTTATTTATAATTCTTAATTTATTCTTTTGAATATGAATGAAAATAGTATTTTGTTTTGAAAGTACTACTTTCTCTTTAAAATAATATTTTATTTTGAAAATACTACTTGGTTTGAAAAGATTATTTCATTTTAAAAATAGTATTTTGGTTCAAAAATATTATTTTATTTTGAAAATAAAAATTTTTGGCCTGTAAGAGTTTTGTCGAATGGCAGGGTAACTAAACTGATTGCCCGTCAAGGGATCACGAGATCTTGAGAGTGGAGAGAATTTATAGCAAATTTCTTGAAATGATTTAATTGATTTTTGTGGGTTTCATATTTAGCCCTATTTTAATCATTATTATCAAATTTATCTAAATTATAATATTGTAAATCGGTATCGAATCATAAAATTGTAAATTTATAAATTAATAAAATCATAAATATTATAAATATTATAATATTATGAATTATAAATTTACAATATTATAAATTACAAATATGTAAAATTATAAAATCGAAAAATTACGAATTTAAAAAAAATCTATTTTATTCGAATTCTCGAAAAGCAAAAAAATGAAAAATAAAAATTGCGAGAAAAATAAAATGTTGTTTGTTTTATTAATTATATACTTGTTGGGTATAATTAATTCTATATTAATTTTTAAAAAATATTTTTATGCAGAACTACATTTATTTGACGTTGCGACTAAAATCTCTTTTTTTAATATTATATCTAAACAATAAAATCATTTCAGGAAGTAAGTGAAAAATCAATTTTTTTCTATCCACTCAATTATCAATTTTTCATCGTTATTTGTTCTTTCAACAAAGCAAAGAAACAAGAATTGTTACAATGGCTGTGAAAGAATAAATTACAATTTTTTGTAAATGAAAACAATTCTTCCACGAGGGATGAATTTTATTTAACTTCAATTTTTTTCATTTTTTATTTAATTTCTTTAATCTAATTTTTAATATAATTGAGATTTATTACTAATATTAATTTAATTTCTTTAATTTCTCAGCTAATGAATTTTTTTCCATTGTGAAATTATTTTGAAAAATTACGAATTTCTAAAATTTATTTAATTTTTGAAATTTTGTTTATTCTCGACTGTTTTATTCGTATTTGAAAATCAAAAATTAGATAATTTAGTGGACAGAAAAGAATTAATTTTCAAAGATATGTTTAAAGAATTCCAATGCAGTGAAGACGACTTCTGTTTAAATGAATGCAATGATGAAAAATTTTAATAATGTGAAAATAATAATGCGCTAATTAATTTTGTTTTTCGTCTAACGCATTAACTATGCACGATTTTCATTAGTAACACTCGCTCGTATTAAATAAATATGTATTTGAAAAATATTATAACAATTTGATTGCAATTTTATGCAAAATATAGAAAACATAATAATAAGAAGAATAAAAATTTGCAACATCTTTGAATTTTGCAATCTAACAAGAAAAACGTTATTTGAAATTAATTAAATTAATTTACTAAATTAATTCAATAAATTTTTAAAAATGATTATAAAGAATAAAAAGAGAAACAAAAGAAAGAAAGCAAAATCTGATTATACATGTAAAACTTCTTAATTTGAATTGTAACTTCAGAATAATTATATCACACTTTTGAAGTATTGTAAAAAATACATGTATAGAATTAAATTTATATCCTTTTACTTCCTTGCACGAGGGAAAAAAAATTCACTTTGTAGTAATTTGAATTTAAAATGTAGAAATAATTTTCTTTTTCTCTACCATTTTCCGAGTGTCATATGAAATCACAATAATAAAAAAAAGCGAAATCTAAAAATTGTTTTCGGCTTGAAAAAAGAAAATGTATTCTCCAATAGATCGTCTTTCTCATTTACTATACAACATTGTAAGTGTGTGTATATTGATGGAAAAAATAAAGAAAAAGAAACAACTGTTAACTATTTCCACACTAATTAACTTATTTGCAAAAGAAGTCGTTTTTCTTCATTTCGAATTTATCTACTTTACAAAAAAAAAGTAAAATGTATTGATGAAATGAATAGAGACTGAGGTAAATTAAATATTTAAATATATAATTATAAATTTTGTCCATATTTACTTAACTATTATTTTGAATATTAGTAAATTCAAAAAATTATAGTTTTAAGTAAGAAAAATACGTAATTCAAAAATATGTTCAATATTAACTGAATAATAATAATTTAATTGGCTAATAAATTAGTTTAAAAAAGTAAAATTTAATTACTAAATTAAAAAATTTGAGTTTAAAGTAAAGTAATTAAAAAAAATGTTTTAAATTTAAAAAAATATATCTATAATATTGTCGACATAATAACAATTGTCAAATCTATGCTATTCCGATAAATTGACGAAAAAAATATTGCAAATGAATAATATAGATTTTCTGCTAATTATATAATATAAAAAATTCTATTAAATCTTTATTCTTATTCTTCGCTTTCGAATGGGTAAAAAATAAAAATTTAATAGAAGATTATTAACTGTTTAGATTTTTTATAAATGTAAAAGTTCATCTACATAAAGTTAAACATTTTAATTTCCTTCAAGATTTCATCTTTGCAAAAAAGAAAGAAAACAGCAAATAAAATTTCAAGAAGAGGGAAATAAAGCTAGAAAGTCGCGGACCACTAGAAAATTCTATTTATAAATATAGTCGCTTATTTTAGATAAATTTAATCAAACTAATTGTACTTTTACTTAAAGATATTAATTGTTTCAATGATATTATTCAATAAATATTATTTCAAAAAATAATTATTTATATTTGAAAATATTTTAATTTATTAATATTATTTTCAAAATATTCTTCGATCAACAATTCTTAAATATTATTTAATAAGTTATTTAGTAAATAATTTAATTACTAATTCTTAAATATTATTAAATGAATATTATTTAATTAATCAGTAATTGAATAAATATTTCTTAAATAGTATTTAATAAATAATTTTGAAGAAGAAAAATATTATTTAATTAATATTAATTAGTTTGTAAAATATCAAAATCATGTACTTCAAAAATTATTAATGTAAATAGAAATGTATCTTACAGTCGCTTAATTTTTTTTTAGATAAAAATAAATTCTCGACTAGATTTTTATTTCTTATTCAAATTTTCAAATAAAAGAAAACGAATGGGATCTGATAAAAATGCCAAAAAAATTATAGGGACAATTGAGATAACCATAAAATAAGAAAAATTGCAAAAATGAAATAATTAAAATGATTAATTTTAATTTAGATCGGTTTGATTAATAGTAATATTTAGTAAAGAAAAACATTTTCATCAGATATATCAGTGTTTTCAAAAATAGAAAATAATGATATGGTATCAATGTCTCAATTTTAACTGCAAAACAAAAAGTATGAAAATCACGATATTGCAAATTGTATTACGATCATTCGCAAAATGTATCTTTAAACTTGCTATAGAAAAATCATTTTAGCATTATAATATAATATTTTTCTTTTTAAATTTATCACGGCACTTTTTATTGCACCTTTGCTCCCAAGAATTATTTTTCATTATAAATTTTGAATCGTTAATGAAATTCATCTCATTTTCTTTTCTTATTAAAAAAAACACTTTTTTCTCATAAGGAAAACACATTTTTCTCATAAAGAAAACACTTTTTTCATATTAAAAAAACACTTTTTTCTTTTTTTGAGAAAGCTTCGTTATTTCTTTACTATAAAATAAATATTGTAGTGGAATCTACATTCTGACTATAATATTTAATTACGTATTCAGAAGAAAAAATAGTTAGAAATTATTTAATTATCTTTGGCAAAGTAGATCAGTAGCCAAGGTATTTAGCATCACGTTCGTCGCACTCACGACTTCACGTGGGAATTGAAACATCTACTAACTGCCTTCTTTATAGTGCCAAAAGGTCAGTTCTGCACAAACACTTTTTCTATCTTTTCTCGTATTTCCTATTTTTTTCAACAATTTAATATTTATATTTCAAGCTAATTTGAAAAATTAGCTTCTAAATTTAAACTTGAATTTAAAATAAATTTAAAACAAAACAATAAAATGTATTTGGAAAAATTTCCTTTTTGCCAAATTTAAATATTTTTCCGAGTTTATAAGAAATTAAACTCTTCTAAACTCTAGAAAATAATTTCAACAGGGTTGCCACAAATATTTAATTTTGTTTTTCTCAAAAAAATGTTCTATTATATTTATTTATGAAATTCTTTAATTACAAAATCATTCAAAAACATCACTAACTTCTTTTTTAAATAAATATTTAATCATTATAATTTTTCCAAAGGAATTAAGATTTTAAAAAAATTCAAATTTAAATCTTTTGAATTGAATTTGGGAGAAGAATTTTATCATTTTTAAAGATAATTGAAATTTTGACGAGAATTTAAAGAAATTTTTGAATATAATAGAATTTTTGCAAACATTTGTAACTTCTCGAAAATTCAATTTTTTAAAAGTGTTTTTAACTAAAATTCTTCTATAAAAATCAATGAATTTTAATAATTAATTAAATATATATATTAAAAAATTAAAGAAAACTAATTATGAATCTTGCAAATTAAATTTTTTCCAGAACTTTAATAAAAATCCCTGACTTTTCCCTGATTTCCCTGACCAATTCTACTTTCCCTGATTTCTTTGACCTGTGGCAACCCAATTCAAGGAAAAAATATTGTTTATAAAAATGTATTTTTAATGCTTTTTTAAAAAAAAATATATTTTTTCCTTAAAAAATATATTTTTCTATTTAAAACAAAACTATTTCTAGATTTCTCCAATAAAAGTGCAAGGCTGGGAATATGGAATCGAGAGACGAGAGCCACATCCACCACCATCGACACCAACAAAAAATCGCATACCTTCAAATTCCTTGGTGACATCACGAGCAATAAGAAGCAGTTTCACAAAATCTTCGGAAATTATAAATCCACGTGGAAATATTGTTGTTAATTCACCAAGAAAATCCCTTCGTTCACCAAGTTCCGCAAGACCTCCAAGTAGTCTTAATTTCCAGACATATGAAAATTCATCAGAGACCAAAAAATCGTACTCTCCATCCGGTATTCGTTCGGCAAGATCATTCCGATCTCCAGCATCAACTCCCCATGAATCTGAAAATATTCAATCAAGAGTTAGATTCTCGAAATTTTAATTACAAACACATTTTGCACACTATTTCCTTATTTCACAAAAAATATCTTTTTAAAAATTATTACAAAGATATTTTTTTTAAACACAATTTCAAATTAGATGAATCAAAATTAAAAAAATCACAAAATTATAATACAAAATACGAGAAATATAAATAAAATAAATAAAATTTATAAAATATTTTATCTAACAAATATTTACATAAATATTCGTTTTATATAATATTTTATTTATATTACTCAATATTTACGAGTGCTTGAAAAACTGACTGCTTCAACACTTACAATTTCGTCGTTGAACGGACAATTTTTACAATTTCGCAAGAAATTATACAGAGAAGAATTTCGCTTTACCGATGGGCGATGTAAATATACAATCATGCAGAAATGAAAGTAAAATCACGAGAAAAATATTAAAATACATATAATATATATTTATATTATATATTTTAATATAACTATACCTCATAATATTGCTCGTACTATCAATTTACAAACGAGAGAAAAAAATTATTCAAAGCAGTATAATTTTATCTTCTCTCATTTCTTTTTGTACAAAACAAACACTGAACACAACGACAGTAAACACTCAAGATACAATGTAAATAATTCTTTATTACTTCTATCTGTACTACTATTGTTACTTTTATAAAAAGCGTATTATGTTACAAAATATAATTCCATGTCAAGGCAGAGGATATGTAGTATCTAAAAAAAATATCCACAATTTACAGGAATGTTTATCATACGATATAAGTAATATGGAAAATTATAAATTACATCTGTATCGAAAAAAAAATTCCTTATAAAAATTAAAATTCATTGTTGCTGTATGAGGGCGAGAGGTTTCAGTCTTTCTTTGGCAATGGTGGTGGAACTAGTTTTACATTCTTGAAGAATGGATGACGCAATGCCATCATTGCTGTGATTCTTTGATTTGGATCATATGCTAATAATTTCTGCAAAAGAAAATAAACAAATTTAGATTAAATTTCGTTGTTTTAATGATTTTTTTTGTTTTGTAGAAAAGTTAAAAAATAGTTTTTCTTTTACTTTAAGTAAATCTTTGGCATCGTCGTCAAAGTTTGAGACAACTTCGTCTAAACTACGAGCGTCCCAACGTGGAAACATTGATTTGTAATCGGGAAGCTGTGAGACACCAGGCCAAACAGTTTCGTCCGGTGTGCCGAGTGTTCGAAATATTCGAAAAAGTTGATCGATTTCCGAATCGCCGGGAAATAGAGCCCTTTTCGTCGCCTGCGAAAGAAAAATTCGAATTTCAATGACAAAATACACAAAAAAAATTTACTTTTTCAAATTTTTCTAAAGTTTCAAACTTTCAAATTAACGACATTTTTTTCTATTTCAATATTTTTCAAAATTCCTGACACAAAAAAGAAAAATAATGAAAATTAAACATTTAGTCAGTTAAGAATTATTTCTTCAAATATAGACCAATTTTTTTTTTTGTAAAATAATATAAATTAAGAGAAGTAAAAAATGTCGTTCATTTAAAAATTGAAACTTTCGGAAAATATTTTTAAACAGAAAGAATGTTTTGCTATATAAGAAAATATTTTTTTTTCTCCTCAAGAAAAATAGAAATTACCAAAAAGAAATGTTTTCCAATTATATTTGAAAGTAAAGAAAAATTGCATGAATTCAAAATAAATGAAAATACGAAAATTTTTACCATTTCTGCAAAAATACACCCGAGACTCCATATATCAACGGCAGTCGAGTATAATTTTGTACCCAACAAAATTTCCGGTGGTCGGTACCACAAAGTGACCACTTCATGTGTATAAGTTCTCACTGGAACTCCAAATGCTCGTGCCAATCCAAAATCTGCTAATTTTATGTTTCCTTCTCTGTCGATGAGAAGATTTTGTGGTTTCAAGTCACGATGCAAAATTAGATGCACATGACAGTAAAAAATTGCATGCAACAATTGCCAGAGATAACTCTGTAATAAAAGAAATTTCTATTAATATAAAACATCAACAAAAATGTAAATTTCCATCTGGAAACATTTATAAATGATAAAATTACAGTAAAAAAATACCTTCTCATTTGAAAAAATGAATCAGAATCGAATTTTCAAATATGTAAAAATAAATCAAATTCAAATAGATTATAATTGATAATAATTACAAATACCTTAACTAAGGCCTGTTCCAGACCATGTTTCACAGATTCCAGCAATTTTTTGAGATCCTGTTGTAAAAATTCAAAAACAAGATAAAGATGCCTATCACCTTGTACGACGTCCAATAATTGAACAATATTAGGATGAGCTAATTCCTTCAAAAGGGAAATTTCTCGAATTGCAGTCGATGGAACTCCTTCGCTTTCCCTGAATCAGAAAAATACTTAATTATCCCAGTCACAAAAAGAAAAATTGTAATAAACATTCTTTTTGCAAATAAATAATAAAAAATTCTCTACTTCTCTTCCAAATATTATAAACTACCAGGTTTTTGTTAAGTTCCATTGGAAAAATTCCAATTCTTGAAATCAATGTTAGTGACGAATTATAATTTCCAATTTTCAAAATTGATCAAATTTGGAAAAAAATTCTCAGCTTTTTGATATTTCACAAGTTTGAAAACAAATTTTCCAAAAAAATCTCGATTTACATAATTAAAAACATTTCGAGAACAATTTCAAAAATTTGTTTTCATTTTTCTCCAGAGTCAAGTTTCGTTTCGCGAATAATTTCGATTTAAGAAATTAATATTGTAGCAGAAAAGGAAATACAATATAAGGAATGTTTGAAAAAAATTCATTATGAAAAAATTGACAGAGTTCCAAGAATGAAATTAATTTCCAGTTGAGATTTGCGCAATGAAATAAGCGTTGTTATGATAATTAAAAAAAGAAAACGTAGCCAACATGAATTAAGCTGACACTAATGTGCAGATTTAGAAGCGGAATTAAAAGCAAGCATTTTTTTCATAAATAACTCATTGCCAAAAAAAAAGACAACTACGAAATACAGGTGCAAAACTTTGATAATTATGCAAATATTCGACGTTATATATTTCGAAAAATTTTTAGAATTTTTATTGCTTAATTCAGTATTTATTTGTACTGTATTTGTAATTAATTTATTCATATTTATTTTCTATTTATATTTCTGTTTATTTCATGTTTATAATAAATATATTAACTAGAAAATAAATACAATTAAATAACCAAAAATAATTCATTTCTTTTTGGCAACTAAGGAAAGAATTCTTTTGATTTGCATAATTAAACACCTTCTGTTCAGACAAACTCAACACCATTACATAGAATAAAAATAATTAGTTTAATAAATAGCTTCGTATGATAAATTCCGATTTCAGTAAAAATCGAAATAACCACCTTTTGTTTAAAAAAAAATGAATAAAAGAGAAAAATCAGCATTTACAAACATTTTATTACCAAAACCCCAAAGAAAGAAATAAACAAGTTTTACGACTTGAAATAAATGAAAATAAACCATTTCCATCATATTCGAGTGAATAGATAAATAAATATTGACACTATTTTCCAGTTTCCCTGTTAATATCAGTGAAAAAATTAATTTTAGTACGTTTAATAAAGAGAAAAGAACGCTACACACATAGAATAAAGGGAAACATAACCTAAAAATACACAGATTTGACAAATCCTCTAAAATCTTACCAAAATTCCAAAGAACCAAGTCATAAGAATTAAAATCAAGTGCAAAATAACTATACACAATAGAAAAACAATAATTTTTCATAAAAATACACACAACAAACAAGTTTAAAAAACAAATTGATCATTATCGCAAACATGAAAAATTCTTTTCAACACATGCGGAAATAAATAAAATTACTTACGTTTCGAGACGAATTTTCTTGAGGGCAACTAATTTTCCAGTTAATTTATCCTTTGCTTTATAAACAACACCATAAGTTCCTTCACCAATTTTTTCTATTTGTACAAAGTTGTCCATAACCTTAACACTGCCGTTTTCACCGTTCTTGTGAGGCATCTTTCACTTTAACACACCTACTCGCTAGTTTATTGTATTTATAAATAACACTTTAAAGGATTTATCACTAGTTAAAAATGAAGAAATAAAAACAACTAAAAATACGGTAAATATATTATAAATAGTCGACAACTTTTTTTCTTATAAAGAGCAATGTGTCTCATCGACAAGTATATGTTTACAACCGCGCAAAAGGCGGCAAACACGGCAAAAGTGGTTCGACACTTGACACAAGGTGCGCTACTAGCGGAAAACACTGCGCTAGTCAATATGCATTCTCCGGTCAAATTCGAGCGGGAAATTCAAATCAAGCATCTCCGTTTAAATCGGAAAAATGTCAGTAATATTTTTTTTTTATTAAATAATGATAGTAAAAATCATTTAAAAAAAATTACACTTAAAGTGGCGGGAGATTTAAACTGTTTATTTTAATATTTCAAAATATAACACTATAGACTTGCTAATAATAAAAATAAAAATTATAGTTTATATAATAAATTATAATTATTTTTAATAATAAATTTAATAATAGAAAATCTATTATTATTATTATTGATATATAATTATTATTGAATATCAGTAACAATAATAGGAAATAAATATTTATAGTTTATTTATAATAAATAAATAATAATAAATAAAAATAAATATTTATTGAATAAAATTAATAATTTAATTATAAAAAATACTATTAATTTTATAATAATAATAACAATAACAATAAAAATAATAATAATAATAATAATAATAAGTGTATAATAAATAATTATGATAATAAATATTAATAGTTTTATTATACCTAATATAAATAATTATAAAAAATTTAAATTAAAAAATAAAATTCCATAAATAAATATAATATATTAATGTATTAAATAAAATTAACAATTAAATTATAACAAAAATATGAAGTGTATAGTAAATAAATAATTAAATAAATTTTTACTATTATTTACTTATTGTTATTATTATTATAAATGTGAAAAAAATAATGTATCAAAATTTGGTCATTAAAAAAATTATCTGACATAATTAATTCCGATACCTTTTATAATAAATAAATATAAATCTTGTGCCTACGTAAAAATTTTTTTTTCTTAAATATATTTTTTATAAGTATTATTATTTATTATTTATTAATTATTAATTGTAACTGAAAGTCTGTAGGACATTTATTTTCGAATTCCCCTACAGTATAATTAGCCACGTAAATATACGTGTTCACGTGTTCACGTGTTCACTGTGCATGCTGAATTGGAATTAATCTTTAAATGATTATAAGCCATAGAAGTATTTATTTTTATTATTATTATTATTTCCCAAAAATTAAGGAGAATCCATATTATGTTCTAAAAAAGCGAAAGTCATCAAGATAAATTTTTTCCCTTTCCCCTCAATTTCCTTTTCTGTCATCTATTTTTATTTTTCTTTTATTTTTACCTTTTATCAAAAATGGAAAAAAAAACATCAGAGATTAAAGGATAACAGGAACTTTATCTCGTTTTGGAAATCTTATGATTATTTTAATTCTATTTAAATAAATGATTGTTATACACACAACGTAATAACTTTTCAAGTAATTAAAAATTATTGTTATTATTTTAACTAAATTAATTTCAAATCAGTGGGAAAATTTGCCATTTATATAAATTTTTCTATTTGTTAATAAATAAAAAACGTTAAAAAACTGAAATAAATAAAATTAACACATTTGACGGAATATTTAAAAAAATTGATTAACATTTTTTTTTTTTTGGTAACAAATAAACAATTCTTATAAATTTTTCTTGTTAACAAATAAACACGATTATTAAAAGTTTCTCTTGTTATCAAATAAAAAAATTATTGTAAATTTTTTTCTTGTTAACAAATCAAAAATTGTTGTAAATTATTCTTATAAATTTTTTTTCCTGTTAACAATTAAGAAAATTAATTAGAAATTTGTTTTGTTAACAAATAAACAATTGTTATATATTTTTCTTATTAATAAATAAAAAATTTATTTAACATTTTTTTGTTAACAAATAAACAATTATAAATTTGTCTTGTTAACAAATAAACGATTATTAAAAGTTTTTCTTGTTAACAAATAAAAAATTGTTATGAATTATTATTTATTATTATTATTATTATGTTTTTTCGAGCAATAATTGTTAAAAAATTTATTTTTTCTTATAAATAAAAAAAAATACTAAACATTTTCTATCTTCTAAACTTAAAGGAAGATTTATAGTTTCGTTAGTCTCGTCTTAACAATGAAACATATTTTTAATTCCAGATAGCGTTCGCGTTGAATTTTTTCTGACGTTCTTTATGATTTCTTGGTGTAGCGTGAGTTTCATTTGTATAATAGGAAAGACCGAGTGAACGATGTAGATGTGCGCGAACGTTATGTTTGTAGCTATTTACTATTCTTGCCAGTATGTATATATAGGGAAAAAAAAGGAAACAAAGAAAATTGAAAAAAGGGTCGTTTCTTTTTTTTTACCCCCTCATAGTTGTCAATTTTCTTTCCTTTTCTTTCATTTGCATTCATAACGTTGAATAAAGGACCTATCTAGTTGAAACTTTTATACATCTCGAATGTGTACTTTTCATGTGTGTTGAGCGTATAAACTTTGTCTTTTTTTTATAACGAGATTGCATCTTGTATGTACAAGCTTAAATTTGCAATAAAAAAAAGAGGAAAGAAGCATAAAGAAAAAAAAAAGATTTGACGACTCTATCAATTCTAACAATAGGAAATCGCTCGATTTAGTGGATAATTTTTTTAACAAGTCTTAAAAATGTTCTAGTTTTGAACTTTTCTGCGTTTTTATAAATATTTGTTTATAATATTTATCTATTTATTTATTAATATCTCTATTTATTTATCTCTCCATTTTTTTATTTATACATTTTGTTAATCATCTATTTATTTCAAATTCCCTGACTTTTCCAGGTTTTCCAGGTTAAAAAACAAACTTTTTCCAGGTTTTTAAAACTACATTTTTATATTTTACAAAATTTTTAATTCAAAACTTTTTGAAATTAAACAACTTATAAAAAAATTTTATAAAACATATTTTTATTAAACATAATTTTTATAATCAATCACTCCGAGTCTTCGACTCGGAGCAATCGATTTCTTTATGTTTTATAATAATTAAAAATTATACTTTCATCATTTAAATTCAATTATTGCTTTCCAGAATTTTTAACTAAAATTCTTCTTTAAATTAATTATTCATTCATTTTTAATAATTTTTGAAACATTTCTTTGAACATTTTCAAATCCTTTTGTAAACAATTCAATTTTACGCAATTTCATCGATTATTCGGAAATTCTTCAATCAACTATATATTAGAAAATAAAAACTTCAAATAACTTAAAAAAAATCAATTGAAATTTTACAAAAAAATTAAATCTACACAATTTTAAGTTAAAAAATTCAAAAAAAAAAAATTTAAACATTCAAAGATTATAATTCGAAACCTTTTCAAAACTCAATTATTATCTAAAGTTTTAATTAAAATTCGTATTTGAATTATTTATTATTAGAAAATTCTACGACAATTCAATTATTTAAATACAAAAAAATAATTTATTGAAGAATTGAATGTTTTTTAAAATTCAATTCTTATTTAAAGAATTTTATCAACAAATTTTTAAATAGGTAATTAAAATTCTTTTGACGAATTTCAATAAAATTTTTAAGAATAATTTCATTTTTCGAGAAATTATAGTTAAAATGTATTAAAAATAATTGAATGTCTGTAAAGAAATTTAATTAAATTGAGAAAAGTTTTTGAAAATAATTGAAATTTTGTCAAGAATTTTATTAAAATTTTTTTAAATAATTGAAATATTGCTAAGAATTTTATTCAAATTTTTGAAAATAATTGAATTTTAGAGAAAAATTTTAATATTTATAAAAATAATTGAAATTTTGACTATAACTTTTTTTTAACTTTTGACCATAATTGAATTTCTGCTAAGAATTTTATTAATTTTGAAAATAATTGAATTCTTGAGACGAATTTTTTAATAATATTTCTTTTTAAATACCTAATTATTTTTAATACAAAAATAAATAATTTATTAAATAATTGAATGTTTCTCAAAATTGAATTCTCTTAAAGAATTTTATGAACAAATTTTTAAATATTTGAATTTTTTTTGACGAATTCTAATAAAATTTTAAGAATAATTACATTTTTCGAGAAATTCGATTAAAATTGTATCAAAAATAATTGAAATTTTGCAATAAGTTTTATTATTTATGAAAATAATAATTGAATGCCTGTAAAAAATTGTATTACATATTTATAAAAATAATTGAATCTCTGTAAAAATAAATTGAATATTTTTGAAAATAATGAAATTATTGCAGAGAAATTTATAAAAAATTTGTAAATAATTGAATTGCTGTGAAATATTTGTTATTTATAAAAATAATAAAAGGTTTGCTTAGAATTTTATCAAAAAATTTTTAAAATAATTCATTTCTTGTGGAAAATTTTATTCAAATAGTAGATGTTGAAAATCATTGAATGGAGGAGAATTTTTGAACAAAAAATTGAATTTGTTAAAAAGAATTTCATTAAAATTTTTGAAACAAACTTTCAGCAAATATTATTTTCATTAGTCAAACATTGTTTATTTAAAACAAACTTATTTCTTATTTAATTTCTATTTGAGTTGAAAACGTTGGAATAAAATTCTTAAAAAGAAATTATTGGATGAACTGATAAATCAAATTGAATCCGCAATAAAAAATTTAAAAATATTTACTAAATTGAAATTTTTATTTGCTATATCAGAGTACCATTTAAAAAACCACAAAGAAAAAATCCAACGAATAATTAAATAATACAGAATTTTTCTAAATCCTACCGAATAAAAATATGAAATTCAATTGTCATTCCCTCTTTATTTAATATTAATCAAAAATATAATTAACCCCAATTTTACTTCACTCATGCTGCATGACATAAATAATTTATTACAAACGCATTATTATACATTTTACTACATATTCTTAAATTCCACTTTTATTGGACATTTTATTATTAAATAATAGTCAAAAATATTCGACACATTAACTTTATTACGAACGCAATTTCTTTTAGGTGTAATAACAAAATTTTTCATTTTTTTCTACACCTATTAAACCAGAAAGATGAAAATGAAAATTTTTATTAAAAACAAAAAAAAATACTAAAAGATAA